ATATATATATATATATATAAGATAAATTTTGTCTTTTATATAATAAATAAATTTTTACATAAACAACTTAAGTGCAATTAACTTATATACATATATATTGTACAAATCAAAATGTGAACAGTTACAACTTTTTTTAAATGGTATTATTTAATACTGGAAAACAATTTATTTCTAACGCCTATCAATAGCATATTTTATAGCATAGAAATCTTGAATAAAATTGAAGAGAAACAAATTAAGATATCTTTACTTTTACTAATAGCAATCATTACGTTCATGAAGATAAATATTTTCTACCGTATAGCTGTGCCTTTTTCTCAAATCCCACAGATTTGATAGGAGTGTTTAGCTTATAAAATGGATTCATTGAATACTGAAACATAGAAACACAACATTTCTGAAGTAAAGTTATGTTCATATACACTGAAGTTGAAATGTATATATACACGGAAATTGAAATCCCAACATCAAGAAAGAATTACAGAGGTGAACGAAAATTACACTCTATTTCTCTATACGAGTTATTATATCTGTTAAGGTATATCCATACAAACTTGCATAACCGCATAAACGTATGCACAAAGAAAATTATCCAATCACATTTTACGTGCGTTTTTATAGGAGAAATGTGATTGGATAATTTTTTTTATACGTTTATGCAGAGCTATGCAAGTTTGTGTGGATATACCCTTATGATGTGAATGCAGTGTCATATAAAAATTAAATATTATTTTCCTCAATACCTACTGTGCTCATTGCCATATTAAATGCAGACGTCCAAATGCACATATATGGCTCATATATCTATTCTTATCACATTATCACAAAATGATAATCTATAATTCTCTCGAAGACTTATTTACACGGCTTCATTTAAACCGAGTTAATTACCAATATGTAGTTTGTTATCTTCGAGATATTCTATACATTCACATTATTAACGTACGATACGTTATCACAGTTTTTTATAGACACTAATGCTTACGAGCAGACACTAATGTTTTATACACTCTAATCTAATGGAAACTCTAGTCTAATGGAAACGTCCATATTTTCTATGGTACTACACTTGTCTGTAAGTTATAATCTTGCAATTAATATTCATGTAATAACTTGTAAGCAAATGTGTTCTGTGTAATTTTAATTTGTCTAACATAATTCCTTCTTAGTGTTGGAATTTCAATTTTTATCAGTGTAAATAATATCAGTGAATAATGATGCTTTCTTATTATAGTCCGTTCTTATTTTAAGATCATGTTAAGATGCTAATACAGCTCTTTAATTGGTTCATAACATCTTCACAAATATCAGACTACGAATACTAGCTACAGAACTGCATATTAGTATCTTGAGACATTACTTAAGGCGGTAATTGGTTTATAACATTTTTGTACTTAAGATACTTGAATATAAGAACTAACTTTGGTGATTTCTAACAAGAGACACAGTGTAACATAGTGGTCATTATGTCTTTATTTAATATTGGCGAACAACAAGGATGTAATGATTCACTGTGTTACACTGTGTTATCTGTGTCTCTTGTTAAACAGCATCCTATAAATACCAGTCATTATAAGGCCCAAAGACATAGAGAATGGACTGCGCGATCCGTATCTAAGTAATATATCAAATGTGGTCGACAATAATGAGAGAGAGAGGTCCGTAGGAGACGGCCAATCTCTCTCATTCTCTCTCCCATTATACCATTGAATGAAGAGATAGCAATGGTCGTTTGCCACGGTCCCTCTCTCTCTCATCCCTATCGACCATTTTAACACACGGATCGCGCAGTCCATTCTCTATGTCTTTGGTAAAGCCGTAATCACACTGCAGGTTGCCGGTTATGGTTGCTGGTTGTCGGTTCTATTTTAGCCAATAATGATGCAGCGAGTGCAGATTAGGCAACGTAATTGGCAAAAATAGAACCAATAACTGTAATCAGCAACCTGTAGTGTGATAACAAGTCAAAATTGTTTCATCTTTGTTTAACATTAGCATACAAGAGACATTTTTCAGCAAGGATTCAGTCAGACGCCGTGTAACACTGTAAATCATTTCATCCTTGTTTAACGTAGACAAACAACAAGGATGTACTGATTTATTGTGTTACTCTACGTCTGACTGTGTTCTTGCTGGAAAACACCCAAGGATTCACAGTGTTACAATGTCATCTGTTTCTTGCTGCAAAGCACTCTAAATCTACAATATTATTAAAGTAACTATTACCTTTATATAGGTCTCGTACATTTCATTAAAAAAGTTCTTGATTCCGTCTTCATTCTTGCTATCGTGCACCATGACAAACCTGATATGGGTCGCCGTCACAAACGCGCTAACAAACCACTGGTTAAATTTATCTACAACTTTTAGATGCATGTTCGTCGTTTTCCACGTGTGCTCGTCCACAAGATCGAGCGCCGCGTGGGCGATAAATTGATTCAAATGCGAATGATCTTCCTTCTAAAAGAAAAAAAAATAGAATGGTAGAGTCGACAAGTCAATGCAAAGTTGTAGTTTAACCTCAAAACGAACCTTTGCGTCTTTTCCAGCATTGTTGAACTCTATCTCGAATAGCGGATTATCGGCATGGCCAACAATAGCGAAATAGTAATTTGCGGACATTGCGAAACGGCAGACTGTGTTGTCAGTGTTATCACCGTGGATCGTAATATGCGATTATTCGTCAGTAAATCACTGTCAATCTTTCACACACAACACAGCCATCTGCCATATGCTGCTATATCAATTTCAAAAGGTTCAAAACATCGCGCGTCGTGATTCGATGAGTATTTCAGTCGATTATGGTCAGATTAAAGAACAGTTGAAAAACTAGAACAGAGAGAGGAGTTCAAAAAAATAAAATTTTTTTAAATTAAATATATATAAGATTGTGTTCTTCAAAAATCAGAAATCGTATACTTATGCATTTTTTCAGTTTTTTATCTACTTTCAGCGATAATGTTTATAAAAACTTTTTCCGTATAAAAAAATTGAGCGAAATATCAAATATATTAATCGAATCTTGATTTTATATAAAATTTGTAATTCTGTTTGAATGATCAATTACTTGCAGAAAATTATTTTACCTTTGTCTGATTAGTACCGACGGTAGTACGTTATTATTTTATTCAGTCGGTAAGGCAGATGCTGTAGCTATCGGGTCAATTATGTATATTGAAATTTTCGAATAAAAGTTATAAAAATGAGCGAATTTGGTACGTGGCCAATGAAATTATAAGTATTTTAATAATTTCGATTTTGTAATTTTCACCTTGTTTCAAGCATATAATCGACCCCCATCAGAATTGTGCCGTATATTTTTAGTTAATATGTTTTCATGGAATATTTCAGAGAGTTGTGCGTTCCCTCACAAAATATAATCTAATCTATACACGTGTACTAATAATATAAATTATGTAAACTATGTTATCTCGTTATCTGTACAGTAAAAAATTAATCTATGTAGGCATCATATTTAATAGAAGCCTGTTTTTTATCGTTACACTGAACTATGCACTAAAGCAATTTCTATCTCGTTTATATATTTTTTTATTTGTCGGTATTAAAATCAGCTATTTTGATCCTAAAGCCTTACTACTTCTTTTTATATTGTTTTATGATCCAATTAATTTATAGTGTACATATTTCACATTCTATTTAATTATATGTTTTGTCTATAAGAAATAGATTTGTGTAAATTTCAATTTAAACATAAACGTAATTAAATATTTCATAACAAATAATAAAGAAACCGTGGGTCGAAAGAAAATAGTTGTTTGGTTTGAAAGGCTTATTCCACGAACGCTAGATAACAGTAGCGAGTTTAAATTTATTTGTATTTAATATTATAAGTGGACAAAATGATGAATTTTAATACGTTATGACACAATGGAAAGAATCATTCATCTTCTTATGATACAACCAAGTATGGGATCTGACTTAAGAGAATTACAAATCTGGAGCAGCTCATAAATTGGAATATAATAGCACGAACAACTATGTTGGATATAGTCACATACTTATATATTAGATGCAAGATATATTGGATAATTGTTAAATAGTAGAAATGAACAATCTCGAAATATAACCGTAGAATATGTGTGTAATGAATGAGTCGCTTAATTATGTTGTGTGAATTTATAAAGATTTTAATTTAAATACTGAAGATGATCTGATGACAGATCGAAACGTTTATATATCTCTATGTATTAAATACAAATAAATTTAAACTCGCTACTGTTATCTAGCGTTCGTGGAATAAGCCTTTCAAATCAAACTATTTTAAATATTTCATGTAAATGTAATGTTGAAATGTACAGCACAATTATAATCCTGGAGTACTCTATTTAAGTATTATTTTACATTCACATGAATCTTTATCAAACGATGATTATAATAATTTTTTTTGTTCTTTATACTGAAATACATATACATAAAATTTATTATATCCGTAGAACGCTTTATTTAATATAAATTTATTCCAATTTCAGTTTTCGCTATTGTTTGATCTCTTTATCAAACTGAATTCTTCAACGCCGAATATAATGGCTGTCATTCGCGTTTTTATTAATGACAGAACACAACTTATCGTGCTGCTAATTTTAGCGGATCCTGTATATACACGTGAACGGTTAATCATCAATCGTAATTACTAACCGCAGCCGCAAAATAACAAAGTAGAGATTGCTGATAAATATGCGAGAATCGACAAATAATAACTTCGTCTCCCATGAGCGCGCGTGGAAAAAATATATGCTGACAAACGCGTAATTTCGGGATAATCTCCGCGCGATAATGATACGAAGAGATTCTGCGGCACGCCGCGTTTCGCATACGACCGACCAGACACATGTACGTATACACGCGCATGTAACGTATATACCGGATGACGAATTGAGTCGTATCAGGTCGTATCGCGTCGGTTCGGTGGTTTGTTTCCCCCGCGCTCTCGGCGTTTCCTCGCGATACGGGAATATCGGTGAGATTGGGCGAGATGGCCGTCTACGACGTCACGTCACGAGCATCACGAGTCGAATGGAGATTGATGGAGCAGATGGAGACGGCCTCGGTGCACGCTATGCACGGATACTTTCCAATCAGTGCGTATGTACCTACTACACAGCAGACGTAACGTGCGTGTGCGCGCGTGCGCGCGTATGCAGCCTGCACAACACTCGTTGCGAGGGGGAGGGCGAGACGCGCGCATCGCCGATTGTTATCGCCGCCCGAATGTTCGCGGATTCTTTTGTGCCCATTAACGCGTCGCTCGCGATAACGCTCGCGGGATGACGCCGTCGCCCGAAGACGCTCGCCTGTGAATCCTGGGGGGGAAGGAGAAATGTAAGTCGTGTCGGTTCTTCTAATCTTGTAATTGATCACGGAACATCGACGGCGTTCCCGACGTGCTGTGTAAACATGTCTCGGAATAACGCGCGCTTCTCGGAAGCTCGAGGAGGAGGATCCGGAATCGGATGATCGGATCCGTGAGTGACCGCGAGAAGTGTTGACGGAGGTTTTTCTCTTTGATGAATCGCACGACTCACTTCGTGCGACGGCGCGGCGCGGCGCGAACAAACATTCCCCGGCGCACCATCGACGACTGGCAGTGGGCCACGATACTTCGTACGGTTTGTGAATGAAAATTCCTCGTTACGCGTGCGAGGTGTATAGTGACGGTGATATTGGGCCGTAAATATTTATCACGATTGTGCGAATATTTGCACAACTGTGCAAATAAATTTAGTAAACGGATTAATGAACGAGTGCTTCTCGGTATAACTTGGCTTAATAAGAGAGACGGCTAGACGAAAACTGATGACTGTCGCAAAAAAATATCGCATTCCGACCTGTTATCGCGTATTGCACAATTCATTTTCTGTTTTGCTTTCGCCGACTCACCGACGGTATTTTTAAAGGAATGCAATGTCACTCTCTAGGCGACGATCGAACGTTTCGAACGCGATACTCGGCTGCTTTTCACATTCGCTATTATATATGTACCTGTAATTAACATAATAGTAGACCGAGCATTATTACATATAGTTCCTATTTTCTGTTTTCGCACCTGTGCTCTGACACCGGTGCCTTTGTAGAAAATCGCTTTGCTTGCTTGGAGATAACATCTGATATTACATATACAATACAAACTAACATTATCAGTGAAACAAAAGTGCTATTATATCTAGCATCATGCAACCATTATTTCGTTATCAAAGAACACTTCCGATAAACTGTTTATACAGTCAGAGATATAAATGGACATATAACTCAAAAAGTGTACTGTGAATATAGCATTGTCTCCAAGTATTCTCGTCTCCAGACTTTTCAAACACCTGTCTTTGGTTGCTATTTTTACAGTTTTTTTTTTATTTCAGATCTCCAGTCCTCTGAATCGAAGATACTGCATTATACATACGCTTATATATACAACTCTTAGCACTCATTCTTAGCTAACTATAAAAATACGAGGAGCATGAAAAGATGTGCTCAGCGAAAATTATCTACATTATTGTGTAAGTGACGAGTTCAATATATGAGCTTAGAAATGGCCTTGAAGAGTTTATCGTATTATCAAGACATCTTGATGATCAGGTATGTATATGAAGTTATTGAATAATAATGAATTTAGTTTATTAACATAAATATTACGTGATGTTGGAGTTGTAGTTGATGTTGATTTTAATATTGTGAAACAGTCATCTGCAACATGAAGGAAAGATAAATTAACTTTTAGGATAGCTTATTAACAAACTTTAAAAAGTTTATTGATATCTTACAAGATAATATAAATATTGCAGCAAAAGTTGTTCAACATTTAGTGCATTTTCTATTTGAGATTGGCCACACGCGTTTAAGTAAATTTGTCAAGTATACTTGTACAATCCACTTGTGTGAGTTTACTTGAACATGTGTGGCCGGCCTAACACAGTAATCTCTCTTTTCTTATTATATTAATCATAAAACAGTAATATGTTTTTATATAAAGATTATATGTTTCGAGGGTTTTCTTCGTGTCCAGATCCATTCTTGGAATGCTAACGTTTCATGAACTTTGCAGTCCACTTCATTAGGGCGAGGAGCAGCCTGATACTTAATATTACTTAGTATTACTATAGTATCAAGCTGCTCCTCGCTCTGATGAAATGGACTGCAAGGTTCACGAAACGTTGGCATTTCAAGAATGGATCTGGACACGTAGAAAATCCGCGAAACGCATAATCTTTATATAGAAAGCACCCGTGGAAGCCTCAAGAATAATATGTTTTTATGTTTTAGAAGGCAGTAATAAAGTATCATATCATGCATTTATATGAGCAAAAATGAATGCGAAGGAGACTGCAATTTATATTCAAGCATTTATAGCGTTATTGAGTTGAATCAATTTATATTACCTATATATCATGGTGCAGCAGCGGCTACCTAGTTTCGATAGTAAGTGTTCATTTAATTTTATATAAATAAATGTATGCTTAACTCTGTCTGTATTAATTCATAGTTTGTAAATGTGAAATTGTAACAGTTATAAAATATACAGTAATTAGTTGTTCACACAGGTGGTCGAAGTGGACGGCGATTTATATTGACACTCGTTGCTGGGACGGTTTTCGGCTTTTTATCAGCATGTTTGCTCATTACATCTACGAGAGATGTACCGCACATGTTTAGTTGGGTACCAGGTAGTTCTGGCCTTTCTAGAGATCCTCATCATTATTCAGAACTGGAATCAGAGGTATGCATTTTTTTATATTCCAAATAACAATACTTTTAAAACGTTCATGCCAGCTTGATCTATCATTCAGAATATGTTGTAAGTATTCGATACAAAACATAGAAACTTATAAGCCGGCATAAATGCGTATTAATTCTGCTTATAGCTGTACCTATGAGGAAAATGATGAATTTCTTCTCTTTTTGATTAAAATATATGCGAAAAACATTTTTTACATATACAGTTATTGTACAGGATGTTCCGAAATTCATAAATCAAAATACCACAGCAAAAGTAGTCGAAAAAAAATTAAGTAAAAAAGTTATTTGTATTTTAATTTAATAAATTTAATAAATTTTTATTTTAAGCAGTACTTACTTTACGAATTTTAACATGGCTAGCTATAGAT